CTTCTATGACAATTCTCAAAATGCCAGCGTGGTTTTTCAAAGATTCTCTGAAAAACCAAACTTCGGAGTTTTTCTCAGAAAAGTTTTTGCTTATAAAAATATGCTTTGGGTCTTGGCTATCAAATGCTGAAAACCATAGGTCTCTATCTTGTTCCTATCAAAAATTATTCAAAAAACAACCAGGTGTCTTATATTCTGGCACCGATAGTAGTTTTCTCACTACTCAACCAGGATTTTTACGTTCATTGTCTTCTGGTGATGAGAATATGAGGTAGTCTTGAAGAATTTGAACAGAGTAAGAATTATACATGTTACTATTAAACGATAACTACTAGTTATGCTCTCATTGTTTTGTGGAAGCCACTGAACTAGTGGCTTTGTATTAGCAGCAGTAATCCTAAGAGGTCGGGCAAAACAGCGTTACAAGGCGTTTATTCTCAATTATGACTTATTCTTTGGTCTTGGTGTACTTCGTTTTACATTCCGAACGAAGAACTTCGTCAGACGAGCATTTGTGGCAAGACGTTGATGGACGATTATTTCAAAAGTGTAAATGAGTTTATTGTTTCGATTTTAGCGAAGTAGAACTTCGTTGTCGAGGCATTTTCTCCACAATTCAAGTTTATTTATGATGATTTGTCATTTACAAAACTATATATTGATTCCATGTCACTGTCTAGAAAGGTTTCAAAACGGTCTTTCAGATACCTCTAACGATAGGCTTTCAGAAAGGTAGCCTATACAAGAGGCAACGACTTTTGCGTCCCACTGTACATGTTTTAATCGTATACAAATAATTTTTTTTTCCTACACTTGTAATTTATAATATAAATGTAAATAAGTGATGACTAATGCTGATGATAACGCAAAACAGGTAAACACATGTATATCTAAATTTCTATAATGTACACACATTTTATGTATGATGCATGCACACATAAATCATTCATCCATTACTTGTAATCACATGTCTATTGATATATGTAAAAATCCTATGAAATTTAGTAAATAACCTATAGGTAAAAGTTACTGTTTGCGAAAAAAAAGATTGTTTGATACACATGTTGTGCATAAAACTAACGCTAAATGTTTCATTCAGCTATCATTCAAATGGATTATTTTTCTATACAAAAAAGTTTACCAACAATTAATGTGAAATGAATTGCATATGAAAAATTTTTATCACACGAGATAAAAAACACATATACGAAAAATATAGTATACAATATATCCCTATGTAAAAAAATGGTCAGAAAAAAACAACGATTAAATACGCCACATTTTGATTAAATTAGATTTTTTCTGACATAAGAATAATCTAAAAAACTTGTCAGTGTATTCTCATAAGAGTCCGTTGACAAACTCTGACTATTATGAATTTATGGTATATTCTCGAACACGTTAAAATAATTTATTTCAACAAAATACCATCAAATAAATGAATAAATCAAAATGAAAAAAATTTTTGTCGTTGATACGTGTTCTCTCAAAGTTTAGCATTTTGAAAACATTTTCATTCAGAATTCCTACTCAATCCAATTATTAGATTCATTTAATGTCGTTATACTGAAAACATTTAATATCGAATTTAACTGATTTCTATTATAATTATACCATCTCAGTTTGAATCAATTTACATAGAAGTTCCAACTTAACTAAATTTAATTACTTCTGTTCAGTAGCAACTTTATGATCTGTAAATATGTACAATCCACATAATCATGAAAAATTGAGAGGAATCTAAAGAAAATCACTTATTTTCGATATGTATGATTAAATTTGGATTATAATTGAGTTTTAATCACAATAAAAAAATCAATCATAATCAGATTTTTTGTTTTTGGCCTTCTGTTTTTTACATGGGTTACGTCAAATACAGACAGTTATACTCAATGAATTGAAATAAATAATGTGGTAGCAAGCGATTCATATTTAGAATTTCTTCGTAATTAATTAAGTTTCTGAATTTTTCATAGTAACTTCTATTTTGAGAATTTCCCATCAATAACAACTAAAAGAAGCATATAAATTATATAATCGAAACCATTGAATGAAGTTCTATGAAATCATTATATCATTTAACGAAATCAAAATTTTGTTCGATTTTTCTCCTTGATGTACCTTATGAATGGTATGAATTTGATCGAACAAAAAAAAACTAAGAAAAAAAGATTATTTTACGATTCTCAACGATCAGGATCAAAGAATTTTATTACATACAAGAAAGCGAGAACCGTATAAATACATCAATAAGAGATAATAGTGTAATGAAAAATATTCATGAACAAAACTAACGACAAGACAATACATTTTTTTTATGTGGATGCCCATGTGAAAAATGCATTTTTCGACACCTTTGTTTTCGCTATTCTTTCATTCGTTATTTTTCTTTCTACCAAATTGATACATATCCATCTTACATCGAATGAATAATATAAATTGTATTTATCTTTTTTGTTTCTCTCTCTTTCTTTACTTACCTGTCGTTTAGTGTAACAAATAACGAAAATATTTATCTACTTCACGTGTTGATGGCTTTTGCACCGATCTCTCCGTTAACTGTTGATGGCCTATCTAAATTTCTTTCAATCGGATATCATCATTTGATCAACCAGGCTATTTACACATTTGCTGAACTTGGTATAGCTGACCGGCTTATTCATGCTCCATCTGATCATGGTTTTACTGTTCAAGAAATCATTGGTGATGATCAACCACAATGGAATAGAGATTTACTTTATCGAATATTACGTGCATGTATTTATGGTGGTATTGTCGAATCAATTCATGATGATAAACATTTTATTCTTACCGCATCTGGTAGTATGATGACGTCGGATCATCCATCACATGTTCGAGATTTTATTCGTTTAGTCTTTGGACCAATATCTAACAGTTGTAGTTTGCAATTACCAAATATGGTGCGTGGTGAAGGTACAGGCAGTGGAATAGCTCGTGTCTCAGGTGGTATGGATATGTATACGTTTATGGCTCAACCTGATCAACAGGAGTTCGTACGAATATTTAGTGGTGCTATGACAACATTTTCAATGCAAAATGGGTCTGAATTAGTGACAAATGTCGATTTTGGTCGTTTTAAAACCATGATTGATATTGGTGGTAATCGTGGAACATTCTTAGCTCAGATTCTTGAAAGTTATCCATCAATTCAACATGGAATCGTCTTTGATCTACCACATGTTATTGATCAATTTAAAAATGGTGAAGAGTTCGAATTGCGTAAAATACATAAAGACAAATGGAATTTTGTTTCTGGCAATGTATTTGATTCATCAGCTATTCCATTAGCAGATGCCTATGTACTAAAACATATTTTACATAATTTTGATGATAGTCAATGTGTGAAAATTTTATCATCGATTCGTGAGGCTAATGAAAATCAAAAAGGTAAATCAACGACTATATTTATTATCGATCACATAATTTTACCGGGTGGATCTTTAAGTAACTGGCAAACACATGCACTCGATGTAATAATGGCTATTTTATTTGAGAATGCTCGTGAACGGACACAAGATGAATATAAACAATTATTGAAGAAAGCTGGCTTTGAATTGAAACAAATGTATCCAATTCAGGCACCAGATTCTATCATCGAAGCTATCGTTATTCATTAATTGAAATGTAATAAATTTTAATCAAACATTCGAATAAAAAGATAATACTTAATCGATCCAAAAGTCTAGAGTGAAAATTTCATGCTGGTCATATTATCTAGTGAGAAGTCTATATTTTCTTTGAATGTTCAATTTGGAGATGATTCTTGATGACGACAGTCACTGTGTGTTTTACAACGATTAGTTTTAGAGAATAAAAATATTCTTTAGAGATTATAACATTCTGTGTCATCGTTTTGGATAAGTCTAATTTCTCAACTATACTCAAAAATTTAGTTTGAATTCAAAATATTTCTGTTTAGTGATGAAATTTTAACTGTCTGCGTGTCTACGAGCTTTGATGTTTGCATAGTACTGATATAATGCTGAATTCCTAGAAAGAAAGGTTCTTCTTTCAATAGAAGATCTACTATGTGAGACCGAATATTCTTCGTTTTTGAAATTTCTGATCTTGAGCTGTCTGATCATTAACACAATTATAAGGCACACAAACTTCGCTTGCGGTACGAAATATGGCACCGATGGTGGGTGATGGTGACAGCGATCATAACGGTAAACTCGGATGTGGGTATGGCTAAATAGAGTGCTGACAGTAGTAGCCGCAGCCACACCGATGAAAACTATTAGAACTGTTTGATGTTTCCCAAAACCGCGTTTGAACGGTGATATTATAGTGTTCAAATACTGTTTCTCTCGTTTGTTTGTCTGACATTTAAATGACAAAAATAGTTTGGTGTTAGTTCAATGAACAAACTTTGTGAGAAACGGAATTCACAATCGTGCCATAATAATCGCATCAAGCTGTAGAAACTCATTATGCACAGAAATAATTGCTTTGAAATTATTTCTCTTGTTGACTACTGATAGGATGAAATGAAATCGTTATTTTTGCTTTATTTTATTTCAATATGAAATATCAATCTTGTTTTCAATTACTTTCAACGTTCTATTCTGTAAAAGTTTTCAGAAAAGTAGTTCTTTCAAAAAATGATTTCCTATTGTCGATAACTTTTGATAAAAGTGTAATTTCAGGGCCATATTGTTTATAATAATACAAGAGAATTTTTTACAAGACATCTATGGAGTGCATTGATTGATTCTTTTTTCTATTTACAAATCTCAGGAGACAAATTTATTTATCTAGCTATGACTTTATTTTAAAACATGAAAGCACTCAATTTTCTAATCCAAATGTTGACGAGAACAGTAGCTGCTGTTTAAAGAAGATGTCTTCTCGATATTAAGAAAAGATGCTTGTCTCATTCTCGATGATCGTATTAATTCACTTGAAACAAACTCTTTCTTAATAGACCTTTGATAAGAATGTGTCAAAAATAGTATAATAAAAAAAAATCAAATCGAGTTCGAGAAGAGCATCTAATGGTGGAATAGCATGAGCAAAATTCTTGACTGTGGCTACTGTTGATTGTCAATAGGTGGAAAACATCAATGTCCAATTGACAGAGCCAATGAAGCATGCCAAAGCTTTGATGGATTAATTATCAACTACTGCCTGTTGCAAAGAAAATAGTATTGAAATTGATGAGTATGAAATAAGTATCGAACTAGAATGACCAATAATGTTTGAGTGTGGTTGCCGCACACTAATCAAAATGTAATTGGAAAATTCTCTATGATAAGAACTAATGCGTTGGTAGTCGTCACGAGTGGGTGAATAACTTCACCTTCTACATGAGAAACCTACGGCCAATGTCTTTTGACAAATTAAATCTAAGATGGAACAGTGCATTTGAGCGATTGACGAATCTCGACTACTTGAGTATAGGTGTGAATGAAGCAGAGACCCACATCCTTCCTAAAATTATACTAAACTGCATTTTCATTATTAATTATTTATTACTACTATTTCAAGTCTTTTCTTTAAAACATTTTGCATGTATTGAGCGTCATCCAATGTTCCTTGATCGAATATTCCAAAAGAATGAAAGTTCGAAGTCCCACATTCATTAATCTATGCAACAGTGATGCTAAGACAACTTTGTCTCTATCATCATCAAAGACTCTTGACCATCAAATAATCCAGATTTAAATACATCAGAGTATTCGATTTGGAAGAAATTTACATATTCCATCAATTAGAAAAAAAAAGTACTATTGAAAAATTTTTTCCTACAAAAATTAATTTTACAAAATTGTTCGCTGTTGAGTATTCGTTTGATACATGTCTTGGAAAATGATAGATATCATTAAAATATAAAGAGACCTTCTATTTCTGGAACACAGGTTACTTAATAACATGAGTATAGCGTGGAAAATTTATATAGTCTAGATGATGAAGGACAAGATTATCACCATGATAGATTAACACATTATGAGGAACATGTTAGACATCGAGATTATAGGGAACCATTACACAGTGAACACTGCGATTAATGTCATTGATCGCCTTTCAAATCTAAGAATAATATCAATATTTCATTAAAATGAAATTTAAGATTGAACTAATTATTCTATATTTACACTTAAAAAGAAAAAACTTGACGTTATCATCATTCATGAAAATAATGTAAATAACAGATGTTCCTTCAACTAGTTATGCATCTACTGTATTTTATAAGATTTTTTAATCAATAAATCAAACATGTATACAGTTCTTATTGTGTTTTTACATGACAAAAAGGTTAATATCATATATTTATAGTTGATTCTTTGTTAAGATACTGTTCAACATGTCGAACAACTGTAAGTCCACTTTCAAGAGCTCCATCAATAAATCCTCGCCAACCATTTGCTGTATCACTACTTGCAAAGAACAAAGGTGGTTCATGTTCTTGTAATGTTAATAAATTTGATGTTATTTGACCAGGTCGATACCATCCCCATGTTCCACCTGTATATGGATCACTACGCCAATCATGTCCAATAATATATTTAATTTTAATATCAGGTAACAATTTATTTAATGCAAGTTTTACAGCATCAAAATCTCGAATATCTAATAAATCTTCCATTCCAAATCCAATAATAATTGTACCTTCTTTATCATCTGTAAAAGCCATTGTTATTGGATTAGGATATGGTGCATAACCACACCAATTTCCAATTGGTTCTTCAAGTTTAACAGCAAATTTACTACCACCACGACATTGTTGTTCATTAATAACACGTTGTTTTTCAAGTTTTAATGGTGGAAAAAATTCTATATTATGTAATGTATTCAATGGAATAGTAATAATTGTAGTACGACCAGTAAATAATTGTCCATTTTGTGTACAAATTGTAACATTATTATCATTAGTTCGATTTATAGAAATAATTGGAGTAGAAAGTAATAATTGAACATTATGACAATCATTTAACATAGCTTTTGCTAATGTACTTATTCCTTCAGTTATTTTATATCGACTAGTTTTATCAAATAATCGACATGTTTCATAATCTCCAAGTGCCCACCAACGAAGATGATCAATAAATCCACTTTCAGAAAGTTTACATTGTGAATTCATTGAAAGATATGCATCCATTATTTCATACATATCTTTATTATTATTAAATATTGTTGAAATTTGATCTAAACGATCTTGCATTGACATTTTATCATAAGTTTGAATAACTTCATTGGCACCGAAAGGTTCATGTGGTAAAGGCATAACAGTTCGTCCTTGAACTCCATCAATATTACTATAATTATTCATAGATTCACATAATTGTGGTAATAAATTTGTCATTGATGTAATTTTTAATCGAGAACCATTATCTAATAATAAACTAAGACGATCAGCTGTTACACCTTGAGTTTCTACAATTGAAAGACCATAACGTGTAATTTCAGTCCATACATGAGGTTGACTCCAATGTACCCATGTACCACCCATTTCATACTTTTGATTATCAAATTCACTTGTAAATGTTCGACCACCTATTCGATCTCGTGCTTCAATAATTAATACTTTTCGATTACGACGACTAAGTTCACGTGCAGCCATAAGACCAGTAAATCCAGCACCAATAATTATTACATCAAAGTTTGTATTGACTGTTACTAACGATGATGGAGTAACAGCAGATGTGATTAAACCATTTTCAAGGCCATTATTTCCATGATGAACAAAGCCATCTTGTGTACGGCTTGTAAGTTTATTCAATCTAGTTTCCATTAGTTTTTAGGTTAGAACTAATGATGTATGTATTTTAAATATGTTGATAACAAGAAAGAAAGACAAACACTTCGGTTCTTTTTCTTATCAGTGGTAACTTTAGACTTATGTCACTTTTAGGTTATTTATTATCTAAATATTGAAAAATTCATTCTCTTACATTGAGATTCTATTTTCTTTTATGCAATACTTTTCTATATATATATATATATAATTGATAGTCAATGTTCTTTAAACTTGAAAATGTATTTATTTAATATAGAATGTTTTTATTCGATCTGTTGAGAAAAACTTACGAACACCATTTTTGTTGATAATAATATTATTCTTGTTCTATTTATTTTATTATACAGAAATGAATGATTACAAAATAAAATAACTACCCATGTGTATAGAACCGCTAAAAAATCGCCGGTTATCCGGCAGTTTCTTCCATTGATCCGGTTTCTAATATTGACTGTGTGATTCCTTCAATTCTATCATAGCACAATTATTTTTTTGCAATGTTTGATTATTTTTTTGCACGTTATTTAAAAAAAAATACTAAACAAACAGTTTTAGCTTACAGACATAACAAAAAGAGCTCATATTTGATAGCTAGGAATTCAAAACTATTGAATTCCATTAATAGGAATCAACAAATTATATGAATTTCTGTTGAATATTTCGTAAATGGTTTTTATTACCCATGTAAAAAAAAAGACTGGGAAAATCAGTTAAAATAAATTAAGAAAAAATCAAAATTCCAAAAGTTTGATTTATATATATATATAAATCTGATTAAAATCAGGTTATAATAGTACCATTATAATCGATTAACGATCCGATTTTTCCAATATTTTTTCTTACATGGATATCCACATGGACTTTTTCATTTAATTTAGTCTTTCTCTTTTTTATGAGAAAATTGAAATAAGTACATTTAATTAGCGCTAGAATTTCTTTACTTATTCAAAAGTTAGAATAATATCTTCAAACCGAAATTTTTTCCTAAATTATAAGTTATCATTGGAAGAAAAATCAAAATGGATAGTAATATGAAGCATTTTGATTCAATATCTGATGTTTCTTCACGAATGTAACTTTTAGTATTAAACCACAAGAAAAAAAAAATTTAAATACTTAAGTTATATTATCTCGAGGTTCGACGATGACATATCTTAAATTGTTTTTGCGTGATTCAGAATTATACTATATTCCTGAAGAAATATCAGATATTGAATCAAAATACTTCATATTACTATCCATTTTGATTTTTCTTCCAATGATAACTTATAATTTAGGAAAAAGTTTTGGCGTGAAAATATTATTCTAACTTTTGAATAAGTAAAGAAATTCTAACGCTAACTAAATGTACTTATTTCAATTTTTTCGTAAAAAAAGGAAAGACTAAATTAAATAAACAAGTCCTGCGGATGATAAAAAATATTTACAAAATATTCAACAGAAATCTATATAATTTGTTGGTTCCTATTAATAGAATTCAATAGTTTCGAATTCCTAGCTATCAAGTATTTTTACCAGATACCACGACTTACTAGATTTTTTTTCTATCGAAAATTAACAAGACAACGTTGACATACATTGATTAGTTGAACATGACATGCAACCATCGACATATTATTCAACCAAAAGTTGATCTATTATAGTTCAATAAAAAAATTATAGCCAGCCTGAAAAAACTTACAAAAAAAAAAGAAATAAGCATGGATGTTTAGTACTAGTCTTAAAAAAGACACATCTTCTGGATTTTATTCTCTAGACAACGTTATTAAAAAAAATACCCAATGATCGTTAAATTTGGAATTTCTAAAAAAAATTAATTTTATACATTTCGCACGAAATGTTTTTCGCAGCAGAATTTATGGATCTTTCATCTTCTTTGCATGATATAAAAATAGTAATTCACGATAACATATACGTTCATTTTGAAGTCTATCAACGTTCTATAGGATACATTATACCGAATAATCGAAATAATCTTGTAGCCAGTGTTCCGAATGAGAATTCGAAATATAGTGAGAACCCGCACTCTTTTTCAGCAGATGAGATGAACGGTTGCACTCCGTTTCAAGAATCAAAGTGCAACAAAATGCAACTGTATAAATGCGTCTAGAAAAAGGAAATAATAGTTTATAATCCATACTCTAGACTTCTATGTGCATGAATACATATAAATAATAATAATAAAAATATGTAAATCGTCATTTAGTGACAAAATTTACAAATAGATTCGAAAAGAAAAATACAAATACCGAATCATCATTGAATCACAAGGTTAACAGAAATAAAATCAGCGATGAGGACTATCTGTACATCTAGAATTTCATTCTAGCTCACTGGAAATAAATAAAATTTCGAAGTAGAACTGTTGCGAAGTGCTAAAGACTAGGGTCGAAAAATTTTTCAAAAGTGTACATAAATTATCGAAATTTTGAAAAAAAATTGATAAATTTAATGAAAATTTTTTGAGATCTTTGAAAATAATTGAAGATTTTAGAAATTTTTTTTAGATTTCTCAAAGACTTTTGAAGATTTCTCTAGAATTTTTGAAAAGCCTTGAGGCAAAAAAACAAAATTTCTAAAGATTAGGGGAGTGATCCTCGCTCGCGACAGCTCTGTTTCGAAGTCATTTGGTTGTTACTATTATTTGAATTTTCTTTTGATTGATCGAATGAAGATCTGGTTGATTGAATTAAAAACTTTTCTAGAAACGTTGTTTGAGTGTTTATATGAGTGTTCTTTGTTCATTACCTGAAATAAGAATAAGAAAAGACCATTTGCTGCAATCAAAAAAACATAATAAATAAGAAAATTCATTGTAAAAATGAAAAAAACCAATATAAATTAAAAGATAAAACAAAGTGAAAAATCTTATAATAGAGTGCAGCATGTGCATTCTATTTTTTCGAGTGAAGTGCAAAACAGCGTGCAAATCACAATAAGTGCGTGGCGTACTCACTTTGATTTTGCTTGGTGCACTCATCATTCGGAACACTGACCGGCGGTATCTATATAAAAATGACGCCATGGGTACTGTTGAATGGAGATGTCACGAAGATTCGGTGGACTATAAAGCGAAACTTGCTATTTTGTTTTTTGTTTTAATAATTAGTCAATTTATTCTTATTTTGGATCTTTGATCACTCTGTCCTCTTCTCAGTTGATTTCCTTGAATTCCATGAATTTCTTGAATTTTCAATGTCTAGACGATGGATATATCTGGTTCTAGTGAGCAATAGCTTTGACACAGATCGATTGTATTTCGTTCCTACTTCACTGAAATGCTGTTGTACGGTTCTTTTATTGATTAGGGCACATTTCTCTTGCAGTTGATCGTTGATATTTCGGTTTTGGGACGAACATCTATAGTTGGGCAAGTGCAACAATTTATTGATCCTGTTTCTTTTTTGATCATTGCAGTGATCAACAAGATCAAACTGAATCATTTAAGTCGTTTGACTTTTTCCCCTGATTGAGCTAATACTTCATTGTCGTCATGTCATAATGAACTGCTTTCATCACAGACGTGTGACTGAGGATTGAACCAAATGAACTTTGAGATCAAAAACATTTTCATACCGCCGATACACTGATAAGACCGTGTGTCTGAACTATTTCAGAGCTAATCGCTAAAGGTATTCGAAAATGAGAGCTGCAAATCTGTGAATCATTTGCCAGTAAAGAAAAGGGAATTATAGTCCTTCTATCTCAAATTCAGGTTGAGAAATAATTTGTTTATTTATTTTTCCTGAAAGGAATTTTTATCATTTTACTATTATGGTGAGATTTTTGCTGAGGATACTAGACTATATAATTGTATAATATAACTAACAGATCATGAAAATGGATTAATGTCAAGATTGAAGGAAAATATGTGTGCAAAAAAAAACCAGTGTAACATAAGCTTTTCCACTTTATATATTTCAGGTAGATTGACAACAGATCTATATAGAAAAATAACATCTTTAATGCCCATCAAGCACTCGGATCGCTAAGTTCAGAAGTGCTGCTCTCAATATTTGTGTTTAATGAAATTTACTCGATGTTATCGCTTTCTTCTATATTGATATTAACATCTTCATCTTCTTTTTTTTGTTTTGTCGACTCCTCCGCAATTCTCTGCATTCTTAATATAAAACCGTCTCATCTGATATTCTTCATGGTCAACACCCACGTTCACACTCTGAATATTCTTCCAAAACATTATGGTATAGAATTGAACATCTTACTATAGCTTCTCCATTACAGTCTCAACCTATCCTAAAAATTTCATGCGATTTGAATGTGCCTGAACCAACATTGATTTCCAAAGGAGAATTAAATAATGGACTTGATTTCGTCAATGTATACATTCTTTTGTGAAACATGATCTAAAAAGAGTGATGAAGTATAGAGGTAACAAGTTGGATCCCACAGACTATGATAGATATTGTTCATATACGATAGAAGACCGTAGATCAATAACATCTCGTTATATTATATGAACTATTTCCTTATTGCATTTCTGGAGAATTAAGTAAACAGATAATGAAAAAAATATGCCCTAAAATACATAGAGTAAAGAAATCTTCTTGTAATTACGAACAGCACTAATGTCATACTTCACATTTAAATCGTGTAGAGACTACATTAATAACTTTTCTTTAATTATTAATTATAAATTTAAATAATCACCGAAAAATATCTTTAGTAAATTTTTATATAAAAAATAATTGTAAATATCGTTCAATGTTGAAATATATTTTCTAAAAATAAAATACAGTAGTTTTAATAAGATACGAAGCCACCTTAACAAACAAAAATAGAATATCAAATAAGAATAAAATTAACATGTTTGTAAAAAAATTTCTATATAGTCTGTACTAAAACATGCAACAGCAATATCCAACCGACCATCATTATCAAAATCTTGAATACTAACGGATAGAGGTCGAGAATCATAAGATATAGAATACGGCTCTGGATCTCCAAAAATTCCATTGTCTAAACCATAAAAAACAAGCATTTTATTGGTACCAATATCAACAACAACGAGATCTAATCGATTATCTTTATTCAAATCAGCAACTGCTATCGAGGATGGAGAAGAACCAATTCCAGTTGAATAATTTATCATAATTGAAAAGCTTCCATTCCCATATCCAAAAAAAATACCTATATTGCTCGAGTTAAGATTAGCAATAACAATATCTGATTGATGATCATTATTGAAATCATTTACAGCAATCGAATTCGGAAAAGAAAAATCACCAGTTGAATATGTTCGTTGCTTATCAAATGTTCCATCGCCATGTCCAATAAAAATCCCGATATTATTCGTACCTGCATTGGCAACTGCAATATCTAATTGATGATCATTATTGAAATCTCCAACGGCGACTGATGTAGGAACAGAATTATTACCAGTTGAAAAATGTGTCTGTGTTGCAAAAGGTGTGCTTTTATCTCGAAGCATAATTATTATAGTGGCAGTAGTAGGATTGAGGACAGCCAAATCTATTCTACTATCATTATTAAAGTCAGATATTACAAAAGATGACGGATATGTATAAGCACCAGTTGAATAGGTCTTTAGTGTTGCAAATTGTCCACTTCCATATCCATAAAGTACACTAATATTACCATAACCATTGGCCACATCAGCGACTACTATATCGAGTATTTTGTCATTATTCAAATCAGCAATGGCAATCATAGTTAACAAAGATTCAGGACTTATCGGTATTGGTTTTTGAGGTGAAAACGTGCCGTTACCATATCCAAAATATATTATAACATTTCGACTATCTTGATTACTGACAACGATATCTATTGTATCGTCATTATTCAAATCTTCAACAGCAATCGAATATGGCTTAGAATTAAGGCCGGTTGAATATGTTGTTTTATTTCTAAAGAGACCATTACCATATCCTAAAAATATCTCAATTTCATCTCTCTCTTGAATAGTAACAGCTAAGTCTAATATATGATCATTATTGAAATCATTAACAGCAATCCACATTGCTGACGAATTAGTTGACGTCCAATATGATATTTTTTCTACAAAGCTTCCATTACCATATCCTATAAATAAACGAATATAATCGTTTCCTTCATTGGCAACAACGATATCCAGACTACCATCCTGATTGAAATCACCAACAGCAATATAATTTGGAGATGAAGAACCCGACGAAAATAACATTTGTTTAGCAAACGCCCCATCTCCATATCCTAGAAATATGCTGATACTAGAATTTCCTGAATTAGCGACAGCAATATCGAGTAGTTTGTCATTGTTGAAATCACCAAAGGCAATTGCTTTTGGAGTAGGACCTGTCGAATATGATATATTGTGAATAAAAGTACCATCTCCATGTCCTAAAAGAACATCAATAGAGTCAGTCCCTGAATTAGAGACTATAATATCCATTTGATTATCATTATTAAAATCAGCTGCAATTATACAAAATGGAAGAACAAGATGTGTCTTGAAACGAATATCATAATTTGTAAATGTCGGATAATCAAATCCAAGAAATACACCTATATTGCTTTGATTAGAATTCACAACAACAACATCCATCCAATTATCCTTCCTAAAATCACCAATGGCAATCGAACATGGAAGAGATCCAGAGCCAGTTGAATGTACAGTTGGTTTATCAAATGTCCCATCACCAAAACCAAGAAAAACATTTATATTATTCATCCAATAATTGGCTACAACGATATCAAGTTGGTTGTCTTTATTAATATCGGCAGTAGTTACATATTGTGGACGTGAATTAAAGCCAGTTGGATAGGTAAAGTTTTTCATAAAATTTCCTTTTTCATAATCAAGAAATATTTGTACATTATTAGTTCCTGCATTAGCGACAGCAATGTCCGTCTGATTATTATTATTGAAGTCATTGATAGCAATTGAATGTGGATGTGGACGAGAGCCAGTTAAAAGTACAATTTGATTTGTAAAATTTGCACTGTAATATAGGATAAAAACATGGAAATCATTAGTGACAGTATTGGTAACTACAATATCTAATTGATTATCATGATTAAAATCACCAAAGGCAATCGAGGATGGAAATGAATTAACTCCAGTTGAAAACATATTTCGTACTCCAAATGTTTCATTTCCATATCCCAAAATGATACTAATACTGAAATACCATTGATTAACAACTACAATATCTAGGAAAGTATCATTATTCAAGTAGGCAAGACCCACGGAGTATGGAAAGGAACCAGCACCAGTCGAATACTTCTTTATACTTCCAAATGTCCCATTCTCATATCCGAAAAGTATACCTATACCCGAAGTATAAGGATCAGCATAGATGAGATCAAGTTGTGTGTCATTATTCAAATCTCCAATAGTAATACTAAGTGGATAACTAACATCAGTTGAAATAATCTGTGAAATATGAAAAGATCCGTTACCATATCCAAGATGTATACTAATTGTAGCACGTTGAAAATGTGCAACAGCAAAATCTAGAAAACCATCGTTATTGAAATCACCTACACCAACAGAATTCGAATATATATCACTGTCCGGTGCATATGTTTTAATAATTGTGAAGCTTCCGTTACCATGTCCAAGAAATATACCTGCGTTATTAGTACCATAAATAGCAGTGACTATATCGGTATTATTATCTTTATTGAAGTCACCAACAGCGATTGAAAATGGATATGAACCTTCTACTTGATAGATATTTGTATATTCAAAAGCTCCATTGCCATATCCCAGATAAATATAAATTGCATTTATATCAAATACGCCAACGACAATATCAAGATTATCATCGTTATTAAAATCAGCAACAGTAACAGATTTTGGGCGAGCATTATGTTTAATAAAATATATTGTTTGATTCTCAAAAGATCCATTACCTAGCCCAAGAAATACACCAATACTACTACTATTGATATTGGCAATAACAATATCTAGTTGATTATCGTGATTGAAGTCACCAATAGCAATAGAATCTGGTGTAGAATAAGCGCCAGTTGAATATGTCAATCGATATGCATCAAGATGAACGATAAATGAAGACAAAATAAGAATATTATTAGTGATAGCATTAACAATGGCGATATCTGAACGATTATCATTGTCAAAATCACCAATGACAAGCGACTTTGGAGTAGAAGAAGGCCCCGTTTCATACATCTCTGCAGCAATAAAAGATCCGTTTCCATCTCCTACAAGCAAACGTATATTTGCATAATCTGTATTGGCAATGGCCAAGTCTAAATTTGTGTCATTGTCGAAATCACTAGTAACAATAAACTGTGGACTAGAAACAGAGCCAGTCGGATATGTAATAATCTTTCTAAACGTTCCATTTCCATATCCTAGAAAAACACCTATATTCCTTGTACCATTATTCGCAACAGCAATATCCAAAATATTATCGTTGTTGAAATCACCAACAACGAGTGAGCATGGATTAGAACCACTACCCGTCGAATATTTATGATTTATAAATATTCCAAATCCGTTACCTAAAAGTATAGTTAAAGTACTAATACCATAATTAACAACAGCAATATCGATATGATTATCATTGTTGAAATCAGCAACAGCAAGTGAATAAGGCATAGAATCATATCCCATATCAATGATTGATCCTATATGAAAAATTCCATTGTTCAAACCAAATAATATCACTATATTTGAAGTACTCAAACTAGATACAGCAATATCTAATTGATGATCATTATTAAAATCTTCAACGGCAAATGAAAACGGACGAGAAGAACCAAGTGAAAACGTTATTTGATTAGAAAAGTTTCCATTACCCGAACTGAGAAATATCCCTATACTATTAGTTCTTTGATTAGCAACAGCAATATCCAATAGAGTATCATTATTGAAATCATTAACAGCAACCCAACATGGAAAAGATTGAAGACCAGTAGAGTATATAGTTTGATTTCTAAAAGTTCTATTTCCATAACCGAAAAAGATACCAATGCTATCAGTACCAAAATAGGCAACTACAAGATCTTGATGATTGTCTTTATTAAAATCGCCAACAGCAGCGTGTAACGGAAATGAATCATAACCAATTGGATATTTAACCGTAGATTTAAAAGTTAACTTGCATACTGTGTCTAAATGATAGGTTTAAATTTAGGTCTTCGTTTTAGCTATTGCTCTATCGTTCTATAGAAAAAGTATACATGCTTTCTCAACTAAGAATTTTTCTGAAAAGACATGTTCAATCTTATCGATATGTGAAGTTTTAAATTCGATGAAACTTTCATAGAATGTTTTTCTCTTTCTGACATGTCTACTCAGTTAGCATAACGATACGTAAATACTTCTGGACTGACATGCAGGATTTTTAAAAATCCTTGATTTGTAAAAGTTTTTCGAATGTTTTGTTGAGTATTGGAAATTAATGTTTCGATAAAAAAAAATGTGTTTTTGATAAACTAATTCAGGTCTACATACTCTACAGAAATTGCCCACTGTAAGATTTATATATTCTTCTTATAATAAACTAATGAAATGAATTATTTTTGAATTCTACAAATGAAAATAAAATGGTTTCAAAAATGAAATACATAGCTAAGCATTAATTAATCATATAAAGTTATTGTCATCATCAACTATTCTTTTATGAATGTGATCTTTTTTGACTATCGATATATCATATGATTTTATTTTGTTTAGAAAATGATATGTATTCTAAGATCAAAATAGAGCATACTTGTTTCTTTTGATTGTGTTAAACAAACTACGAGTATACCGATAGTCATTGCAATAATTGTAAATATGGCAAATGTAACAACAGCTATGAAAGGTCGATTTATCGAGCAACATGACTCTTCTCTATCAAAGACAATAAATGAATAATGATAAAAGAGATGTGAAAATAAACGATATACAATGGTGTTGGAATTGTTTCATTTGGATTATGATGAGTAGACATTAAGTCTTTATTTTGTAGAGTATCGACTTAAGAATGTTGTATGACACACGATTGTTCGTCTGAAATACTGACAATATTCATGTATAGATAAACAATACTTGAATCATCTGTTAATAAACTCTTTCTAAGGGAATATTAGATGTTTTTTTTTTTGAATTTCTTTCACTAGGAATAGTATTGTCTATCAACTAGAAGGTAAATCAAGATTGTTCAGTTTAAATTTCAAAAATCAGTCTTGAAGAAAAATAAAACTTTCATTAAGATAATTGTTATTTTTACTTTATATTATCAAATTAGCGATATTGAAAATTTCCTTCAAATGATATATATATGTCGTGCCGAAGTTACACTTTTTGCCGAAGTTGAACTTCGACGGACAAATTCGTCGAAGTTTAACTTCGGCAATAAAAATTTGTCGAAGTTACAACTTCGGCAATAAATTTTGTCGAAGTTAGACTTCGGCAATAAATTTTTGTCGAAGTTATTTTGCAACATTGATCTAAATATCTTTCATCAACAAGTGAGTGTCATCTTGTTGAAGAATGCATTGAAGCTATTTCTCTCAAGTAAACAATATTTACAATAATATTTATGAATATTTATTTTGAAGAATTTACAAATCATTTAGAAATGAAGAATTTTGTTTACTGATCTCGTTGAGTTTTCTACTTATGGAGAGTACTTCAAATGTTCTCAGTAGTACCCTTAGATCCAGAAATTGGCAATTCAAGGAATTCAAGCTGCTACAACAATTCCATTACTTAGGATTAAACCGTACCGTGCTATCCACGGAAATCAAAGAATTCAATAGAATGTGTTGATTTTCCTGGAATTCCAAGAGCATCTCAATAGTGAGGGTGATGGTATCTTTCTCTAACACAGTGCAGTGAAATTCAAGGAATTCAAGGAATTCCAGGAAAACCAAGACATTCTATTGAATTTCTTGATTTCCGTGGATAGCACGGTACGGTTTAATCCTAAGTAATGGAATTGTTGTAGCAGCTTGAATTCCTTGAATTTCTTAATTTTCCTTGAATTGCCAATTTCTGGATCTAAGGTACTACTGAGAACATTTGAAGTACTCTCCATAAGTAGAAAACTCAACGAGATCAGTAAACAAAATTCTTCATTTCTAAATGATTTGTAAATTCTTCAAAATAAATATTCATAAATATTATTGTAAATATTTTTTACTTGAGAGAAATAGCTTCAATGCATTCTTCAACAAGATGACACTCACTTGTTGATGAAAAATATTTAGTTAAATGTTGCAAAATAACTTCGACAAAAATTTATTGTCGAAGTCTAACTTCGACAAAATTTCTTGCCGAAGTTGTAACTTCGACAGACTTTTATTGCCGAAGTTAAACTTCGACGAATTTGTCCGTCGAAGTTCAACTTCGGCAATATTTTTTGCCGAAGTTTAACTTCGGCAAAAAGTGTAACTTCGGCACGACATATATATAAATAAAAGAAAATCATTACATTAAAATAACATGAACACATCTGTATAAGAAATTATGAGGTGTGGACGTCGGTATGGATGCGAAAACTTTTGTGTATCTTCACCGATAAATTAACTCACAAGAATTTCTGAAAAAGCATTTAATCGCGGTTTATTATACGGCATGCATGAAAACATTTCAAAAGGCAAATTTTGCATCAAGAAAACGTGTACAATTTGTTTTTGTCTGCAATATTTTGCAAATAAAAATGACTTTTTGTATGTCAAAAATATTGTAAAAAAACTTTTTTGACATTTCCAGAAGCAAAATTTATCATGTTAAATGTCTTGAAGCATCGTTTATGGTGAAAATACCTCGTTTGATGTTTTCTGAATGGACTTTACAACGCTCAAACGGAAGTCGCGATTAACCCTAGTACTACTAAGGGGGTCAAAAATGACCCAACCGTAGGAAAAAGAAATTTAATGGAAATATCTTGGTATTTTTCTGTTTCAAAAGTATGTAGCATTTTTCGCGGTTTTAAATTTTTAAGCCGGCCATTGTTGTGGCACGCACATAAAACGTGCCATAAGATGAAATCGTATTCATCTCGCAGAATTTGCTTTCACTTCAAATTTTCCTATCTGTCGCCACGTTAATCAATTAACATTAATTTCAAATAATGAAACAAATAATTCTATTATATCTTCGCATATCATTTCATCTTTCGTTCGTCTCTTTTCAATTCATCATTTAATCATAAATACTCAAACATCATTAATTAATTATAATCAATTATTTACTTCAATATGATCTCATCTTATTGCACGTCTTATGTGCATGCTATAACAGTAGTCGACTTTGAATTTAAAATCGTGAAAAATGCTACATATTTCTGGAACAAAAATACCAAGATATTTCCATTAAATTTCTTTTTCCTACGGTGGGGTCATTTTTGACCCCCCCCCCCCCCTTGGTAGTACGAGGGTTAAACATGTTTTTCACTAATACTTACCTGTTTGGGGATGTGAGTGTAGGCGAGGATACACAAAAGATTCACATTCACATCAGAGATAGAATCGATAGACCAGTTATTACCAGTGTGTATTTCTACAATGAATGTCGAGTCTTGAAATGAGAATATCTTTACAATAAGTCCGATTCATCGCATACTACTCTTTAGTTATAGTCGTTTGGATTCCATTTTCGAACCTTAGCAAGCTAATATTCAAACAGAATTTTTCTTTTCTAATATCATATTTATTTTGTTTGAAAATGTGTCAAATGATTTAAAACAGAGTATTTACCATTTATTTTCTATTCATGTTTTACTTTTTGAAAATTTTCCAATTTTATATATAAAATGAAAATATTAAAATATATTACATTTAACTTACCTTGACTATTAATTATGTGACTGTAAACTTATTGTGTATGTATGTTTTCGAGTAGTAAACAAAATTAAGGCATGAATAGTCTAATTTCCACTTCAGTGATTTTTGTTTTCATCATATAGTTTCTGTCACTCATCAAAATAAAAAATTTATTCGACTAACGAGTTTGTAAAATAATGAATCAAAACCTGTGAATTACGTTTCTTCTTATTATGATGTCAAAGCAATCAAAACATAATTCGATGTCTTTTTTTTTTCTCATAATCATTGATCGATCCAAAGTATTGTTTATTCGTAATATTAGATAATGATTTTATCCTAACATCGATCAATAAGTTAGAATGAACCATATCCTGAATATATTTATGATATGTCATTTCGTACTAATAAAACTATAAGGATAAAATGTACAGATACGAATGCAACCGAGCAATATGACTTAGTTACACTACTACGCATATTGATCCAAAGAGAACGGGTAAAAAACAACGTTGATAAATATAAAGTCGTCATAACAACATGAAGAGAAAAACAAGCAAATGTTTTTTAACCCATTGCGAATCATTTAATAGAACTTTTGTTCAATATTTATTTTTTGTTTTTTTTGAAAGTCAATGACTAAATCCTGATGTAAACGTAAAAGAATATTCATAATTTTCAAGTAAATATTTTTTTTCATAAAAGTAAAAAAAAGAAAAAAAGATAAAGCTGTAGGATAGTTCAGAAAAAAAGAGAATATCGCTTTTGCATAAAATCATCTCATAATTATGAGAAATCTTTTCTAGTTTTCTTCGCCTTTTTCATCAAATAGTAAGATTCTATCATCATATTTTTTTAAATAAAATATCTTTTATCTATTATTAAAATGATGCTTGATACAATTGTACTTTATGCTTTCCGAAGATGAAATAAACAGCTGATTTCTTTTTATTCTATATATATATATATGTATTCAGATCAATAAATAGATAACCGAAACAATAACAAGTACCTTCTTATTAGTTAGCTGTTTTTTTGGAGAAACATTTAGAAAAAATTATAATCTATCGAACTACGTTTTGGGTTTTTATTTTGAATATAGGTATGTAACTATGCGAAGTGTGACAAAATCAGATTGTAGCGACCTCATTATAATGTATTTTGTTTCTATTGATTAAAATCTCGAAATTTGCATGTGTCCATAACAAATGAGCACCTATATAGTCTCTTTATTCAATTTAGATTCGAAAATTCTCGATATTAACTCAGAAAAAAAAAGAGTCGAGACATGTAGCGTCCTCCGATATGTATATTTGGTATTGGTTCGATGATTCATTGGGGGTATGAACACATACTACTAGTAATATAATATGTAATCAGTAATCGATTCGTGTCTGTATATTATATAATTCTTCTTTCGTTTCGTATATACAATTTTTTCTTAATGAATAAAATAAATTTGTTGTTGGAATGATTATTATAAGAATGGAAAACATAGATTTTAATTGAATTAGATATTGTGAGATGAGACAATAACAAGATATTTCATGTTTATTGAACATCGTACAGTTGGTCTCAATAATTTCAAAGACTTGATAATCCTTCTAAACAATTATAATAAAAAGTAATAAAATGATTTCTTAGAGATTAAATTTCATCTTGTGTTGTCTACTTAACATCATAAAATTTTCACATATTCCTAAAACATTATTTATCCTTTTTGTTCTGTCACTTATGCATTATCAAGATATCATTTTTTTATTTTGGACTTTGATTTTGTTCTTTATCTTCTCTCGCTTTACAGCCACTATCACAAAAGAGCAAGGTATGTATACACACAAAAAGTAATGTGATAATGTAGAAGATATTGTTTCGAGTGAATATTGTTCGTAATTTATCAAATAATTTCAGATGGCATCATCAAGTAATTCTATGAAAAAATTACGAATGGGTATGATTGGTGGTGGTCCAGGTGCATTTATTGGTGCTGTTCATCGTACAGCTGCATGTCTTGATGGTGAAATAGAATTAGTTTGTGGTGCTTTCAGTTCTGATCCTGAAAAATCTTATGAAATGGGTAAACAACTTGGTCTTCCTACGAATCGTGTTTATGGTTCATATAAAGAAATGATAGAACAGGAACAAAAACTAGGAGGTAAGAAAAATTTTCATAATAGATTTCGTAGATTATTAACAAACAAATTATGTTTTATAATTATTTTAGGAATGGATTTCGTAGCAATCGTTACACCTAATCATATTCATTATGAACCTGCTGTTCTTGCACTTCGTGCTGGTTTTGATGTTGTTCTTGATAAACCTATATGTTTTTCACTTGATGAAGCTCGACAACTTTCACGAATTGTTAATGAAACTGGTCGTACTCTTTGTTTAACACATACTTATACGGGTTACCCAATGGTTAAACAAGCACGTCAAATGATTGCACGTAATGATATTGGTTTAATTCGTAAAGTATATGTTGAATATCCACAAGGTTGGTTGAGTCGTGACACTATTAATTCAAAACAAGCTAAATGGCGTCTTGATCCTAAACAAAGTGGTCTAGCAGGATGTTTAGGTGATATTGGTATACATGTTTTTAATTTAGCTGAATATATTACTGGACTTCAAGTTACTCATGTATGTGCAGATTTACGAACAGTTGTACAAGGACGTCAACTTGATGATGATGCTAGTGTACTTTTACGTTTTAATAATGGAGCAAATGGTGTTTTGATGGCTTCACAGGTACTTGTTTTTTACTTATTAAATTCTTTAATAATTTTTGTGTATTAAGATTTGCGCAGGTGAAGAAAATAATTTAAAAATTCGTGTTTATGGTGAAAATGGTTCAATTGAATGGCAACATGCAAATTGTAATACACTTACTGTTCGATGGTTGGATAGTCCTGCAGAAATTTATCGTACTGGTACAGAATATCTTTCACAAAGTGCAATTCATAATGCACGAGTACCAGCTGGTCATCCAGAAGGTTATATTGAAGCATTTGCTAATATTTATCGAAATTTTGGACGAACAATTCGTGCAAAAAAGAATGGTGAAACAAGTCTATCTGAAGAATGGAAAGATTTTCCTGGTGTTAAAGAAGGAATTCGTGGTATGGCTTTTATTGAAACTTGTGTAGCTAATAGTAAAAATGATAATGAAAAATGGACTGAATTAAAAGAATAAAGAAGAAATATTTGATGTCGTAAAACTACATCTATTGTTTTTGAAATAAAAAAAAAACAACAATAATAGATTATCAACATTTGTAACTATTTTCTTGTTCAGATAGATGATAATATATTGGAAATGACAGAAAATAGAACCTATAAAGTGTAAAGATTATAGATTATGATGAACATTTCATTCTTCTCATGGTTGCATATCAATAACTTCAACTTTTTAAGCGAAGTATAATTTACGCGTTCTTTGCTACACTATCCATTCTCTATTGAAATTGAATTGCATCTATCTCTCAAAACAATACAAGAGTCTTTGATACAGTTTGTTTTTATTATTTTATTAAATATAGAAAAAACTGTGATATTTAATGAAGTTTTAACACAATTGTAATTGTTATCAATTATTTGGAATCGAATGAGAGCTTAAAAAAAGATAAAAAATGTAATATTAGAATTTTCGTCGTTCCCACGTATCTTCTAAATCTTTCGCTGAAATAATACTTGCTCGATGAGCTAAAATAGGTGGTTGTTCAATGTAAAGTTCTTTCATATTATTTCTTCCAATTAACATCATTTTCAATTCATTCTCTTGTAAACGTGTTAGAAATTGTTTTCGTCGATAAATCAATGTTGGATTATTCAATAAAAATATTGCAACATACCATTTATGTCTTGCTTTCGATAGTCGTTTTGTGTTGGTCGGATAAAGATGATTGCGAAGAAGATGACTAACAAAATAAAGTAAGACAGGATGTCGATGTGCACATTCCACAAAAATAAATCCACAATATGCACTAAAACCTGAATCAATAGTTTCCAATTTTCGACCTAATGGTGAATAATCAAGACGACACATATATAGAACTCCACCAGCAATACTTCTCAATATACGCATTATAGCAGCAACAAAACCCAAAAAAGCATCAAGAAAAAAATTAAAATATATAAATACCATAAATGCTCGTCGATTATTAATTGATAAAACTTCTCCGTCATGTTGTAGAAATATATATTGACCCAAAATTTTGTTTAAATACTTTTTAAAAAAGACAAGAATTAAAGTAGGAATAATAATTTTAAGAATAGTTTCAAGAAATTTCACATTTCCATATGTTATCAATGCATCGATTGAGATTAATATAATAAAAAGAAAGATTGCTAGGAATATATAAGCTAATATAACATAACCAATTAAATAACCAGCAAAATGAAACGTTCCAGTAATATAATTAATATTTTCTGAAGAAAGACGCCGTGGAATTTCACTATCATCACCACGAAATGCTTGTAAAAGATTTCGACGAATACCAGCAAACATAACCAATAATTGCACAAGTGTTATAAATAATGCAGCAATAAAAGCAATCAAATACGATCGAACAAAATCAGGTAAAGGAAAATCAGACGATGGATTTTCATCTGCCTGTAAGTTAGGATCGGATGAATTTGTCAATTTTGAAAGTAGATTGACCACTTGTTGACTACTCTTACGGAGTAGATCGAGTGATGGAGGAACTTGTACACAAAACTATTCATTTTATAAGAAAAATATAAATTTATACTCATGAGGAAACATTTTCAATTGATCAATCGATTTTGAATTCAGACTCCGTGAAGAAAATAGACTCCAGTGAGATACAAGAAACTTCAAAAGGATAAATCTTCTTAGACCTTCTACCCGACGTTATATAACTTTAACTTTGAACTTGATATATATCAACAAATCAAATGACAGTATTTTCATTTGAGATTTTGTTTACAAATAGGTCTATTTGTCAATAGAATGTTTCCTTCCCGAAATATTAAAATCCGAAACATATCACCATGGAGGAGTTTTGAAGGGCGAGTGTTCGGAAGAAGAAATTTTTTTCTTCCGAACACTCTTCCTTCAAAACCCCTTCACGGTAATATGAATGACTTATATTCCACGCAAAATGCTAGAATTTTCTATTTTTTGGAACTTTATTATCTCAAGAAGGAAACATTCTACTGGCAAATAGATCTGTCTCTAGACAAAATCTGAGATCGAAATACTGTCATTCAATTTGTTGATATATACCAAAGCCAAAGTTAAAATGTCTATAACTCTGGATAGAAGGTCTAAGAAGATTTATCCTTTTGAAGTTTCTTATATCTCACTGGAATTTTATGCATAGAGTTCGAATTCAAAATCGATCGATCATTTGAAAACATTCATTCGTCAATCAAGTGACTTGCCTGAATAGTAAGAAAGTAAAGCAATAGAAAAATTGATGTATAAACAGAAACAACACGAGATGAGAAACGAAAATCATCTCGCCATGCATAAATAAATTGAAAAGTCTGAGAAAAACGATTTGTTGAAACTTTTATATTACTCATTCCAAATAATTTTTTAACATATTGTGCTTCAACTGAATATGGTAATGATGAATATAAAAGAGTTTTTTGCTCACGTGTTAATTGTTTGTCTCTCATATGTCTATGTCGAATTCGTTCGTAAAGTAAAATTGGTACTTTAATACTAATATAAGCTAAACATAAATAACGAGGAATATCCTTTAATAGTTGAAAGAATAATAACTTTGATCCTGTGCCATAGTATTGCAAATATATCATTGTTCTACCTCCTTTCGTTTTATTATAATCCGCCTCCGAAGGATAAAAATCATTACGACATAGACCAATATAAACAATAGTAATACTAAAATCGAACCATACATATAAAGTAGCACAAATTAAACTGAACCAAGTATCAATGTAGACAGCTGCTAATGTTGGATAACATCGAAAACCAATGACAAAAACTCTTAGGATTTGAAGAAGATAAACTATTACGACACCTATTAAAATAGAATAAAGAGATTATAATTTATTGAAAGACAAATTTTAATAGGACATTCGATAAGAGTTATGAACTAAATACTAGTTTGAAATGAATTAGAAATATGATCGAATAACAAACCTTGATTTGATGATGGATTACTTCCATTCAATGCATCATTTGCAATATCTAATAATTCATCAGCAAAAATAGCAAATATCACAGCTGCCAATATTCGTTTGACATGAGCAAAGATGTCTAATGGTATTGGAATACCAATATAACCTTTACAATATTTACTTCCTTGAAATGAAACACGTTTTGTTGTTATAGTGAAAAGTAAAATAATGAAACAAGCTAGAGGAAAAGTGAATAGATTAAATTCAGCTCTCAAATCAATGATTCGACAAATTGAATGTTGTTTGAAAAAAAATTGGTTGTGCTTTCTTAAATTTTTCGACAATTTCTTCATGGATTGGTTTTAAAATAGCCCATTTTATAATAAGTGTAGATGTAGCAAGCAAAAGAGTAGCAATACCAGTGATCCATGATAACATTTGACGAGAAGGTGCAAGATCAGCAATCGAAATACGAGGAAATTTTCGATTGATGATTGAAATATTTTGCCTATGTGAATGAATATTGAAAAAAAAAGAAAAACTTTTGAGAAGCTAAACTTGCCTCGACTCATTTCTTTGTGCTTTGCGTCTTTTACTGATGGAACGAAATAATATTACGCCATGAAAAAGTACTATCAAAAAGGCTAACAAGATGCCCAAGGTAATAACTTGCCAGCCGCTATTGGATACTAGAATATAAGATATAGTTAAGTTTTAATAATGATAATTATGAATTCACAAAACATTATCGTCTATCCAAAAACATAACGCATGTGGCTATTTTTGCAACAACACAAGAATGCGGAGGAGGCTAGAAAGCTGTGGTTTCCAATATTACAAAGAGAAGAGTCAATCGTATAAAAACATGCTATAATTTTGTAAGTTAGTACTTGCTCAATCAGACTGATTCTTTATGGACATGTTGAACACAATATTCTAGAATCATTTCTCAATTGAGCTTGATTGTTCATTTGACTTATAGAGAGGAAAAATTGTTCTTGCTTGATCCAGACAAGATTGACATTATTAGCTTATTCTATGCAAAAGTTATAAGGATTTTCATGACATTACCAATTTCAGCTGTCTCATATTGAATCACACTGAAAGACAAGAATCACTATTTCACTCAATTTAGCTGGAATGGGTGACCTCAGAAAAACCCTTATAACTTTTGAACGAATCAAGCTAGTAATGCTGGTCTTGCCTAAATTGAACGAGAACTATTTTTCCTACCTACAAATCATATTAGTATTCACGAGTGAATGTTCTCAACTGTCCTTGCTTTTCTCTGAAAACTATTGCCATTCAATATGTCATGATAAGTGGTATAGCAGTTTGTCTTGGTATGGTGTTTCGATCTTTGCTTGCCCAATTATGAGCATAGAATTGCTGAGAATCTGGATAATTGAGTTTTCAGCTTAGGCTTCAGTCATAGTTAGGCACTAGAAAGATCCCAAAGTTTGAGCCAGAATGAACATATGCTTGCCAAGATGTTAACACTTAAAGAACGCCTGTTTTTAGGCTGTGTTTTAAAAGAAGGGCATTTCTATGACAAGCTGATATCTTGGTATGGATACATTTATTCAAGCTCTAAGTTTGGGGTATTTCTAATGATTATATAGTCTATCTGTAGCCAAAATTCTATTATCCAAGTTCTCAGTAATTCTGTGCTCATAGTACAAAAATCAAGTAAAATGCTCATGATTCAACAAGTGAAGATCAGAAAACCAAATCAAAACAGATTAGTCTCGATTGAATAATGATTTTAGAATATCATTTTCAAAATATCTAGTAAGAACTAACGTTATTAGCCAAGTCCTCACCAATAAAATTTCAACAAGTATTTATACTTCTGACCATAGTGAAACATCTTGTAAGCAAGATCTTGCCAAGATCTTTAAAAAATAATTTGTTCTTATATTTCTGCATCTAATTAGATTGACCTGTACCCAAGATCTCTGTAAGATCTGTTCCAGAATTTTATAATGTCAAAATTAGAAAAAAAAACAACTCTCAATATCTTTTCTCAAAATCTTGACGAAAATAATAGCGACATCATTGATTCATTCACTTAATCAAAAATTCTTGAATTGTTTGTAATTTATTTGCAGAAAACATTCTCAAATGGTTTTTAAGTATAACAGATATGAAACAGGTTCTCAACAGTGAAGGCATCTGTTATCCAACACGATTAAAGATTCAAATAACAAAGAGAAAAGAAGTAAACTAAACTGTATAAGGTATGATTAAAACTTTTTCGACTAGTTTACTGTATCTTTGTGAAAAATGTTATCCTTTTTCTGAGAAGAAGACTCACGATCAAACACAAGTTTTTGAAAATATGGGAGCTGTATAAGCTTTGTTTTTTAAAAATAGAAATTTTGATGAAAAATGGCAGACTGAAGAATGTTTGATGAAATCTTGAAATGAAATGACTTGTCCGTTTTATGTGTTTTCTCTAAAGTAGTAGTCTCAAGCTAGTCTAGCAAGATTTTGACTTTAAAGCTGGATTACTATTCTACTTTTTAGATGATTTATAATTACAATTCTCTTCCTGTCGATTATTTCAATCAAATAAACTGTATTTCTAATAAAATTTAACTGTTGCTAATTAGTTAATTTTTTTTCTATTAATTTCTCTTTTCAACTGAAAGCTTTCATTCTTCCTATGGGTTTATGTAAATGAGATCATTTTTGAATTTGTAAACTTATTCGTGTGAATTAAATAGGCTTTGTAATATTTTTTTATTGTTACAATATATTTTAATCAAGATTAGATGTTTTGTAAACGTTCAGATAATGTTTTTGTATATGAAATAAAAATTAGGGAACAAGATATAAGTATCTGCAACCAAGATCAGTAGAAATGATCGTAAAAGACAAAATATTAGATTAAAGATCTTAACAATCTGAATCCAAGATATAGTCACAAATCTTGGTACAAGATCTGTTCACTTTTCTGCACCTTGCATTTTGGCCAAAATCTTGTTTACAAGATGTTCGCCTAGAGTACTCTTCTCCTTCTAATGGTCATACATATTATATTGTTGGACAGATGATAATTATGTTAACTTTTATATTCAAATATATCTTTCTTTTGTTTTTTTTTAAATAAATTACTTAATTCAACTCACGTTTATTGCACAATGTTCCATTCCACCAAAACTTGCAAACACATGTCCATTCACCATTTAAATTATTACGACAGTAACCATTTCGTCCACATGGATTATAAACAGAACAATCTTTAAATTACACATAAAACAAAGCAATCAATCTATCACGATCATTATAACACTTACTTTGCCTTAAAATCACTGGTACTGTAGTGACATTTACATCAATCGATTGATTTCGTGTCATCATGAATGATATTGTCGAATGCACTATTCTTTTTATGACATTAGAACAAAATGATGCGATAACATAATCTGAGAGCTTATATTTTACTTGATATTTGAAACTGCTACTTATATAGCACAGTAAAAATGTGATGTCGCTTGCATTTGCTCTTTATACACACACTTAGAACGAGAGCCGTTTCTTTTTTATTTTTGTTATGTCAACATTTGAGAAACAAAAAATCGAAGCATATATATATGTTTTCTCATGATGATCAACATAACTGATGAATTTTAAAAAATTAAAAAAATATTCTTCTGATTCAACCAAATAATATATTGAAAATACTTATAATTGAGAGTATATCAGACTCTCTACTGACAAATACATTTAAACGTACTCGTACCCTTTCCGAATGTTAAAATCAAACTTTTTTTTCAACGTTCGGCATAGCTCCGAAGTCTCCTCTGTCAAATGCTATATAAATGAGAACTCTTCATTGTTTGGTAGTAGTTTTATTAAATTCAACTCTCGAAATCCTTAGCAGAAAAACTCGGGCAGCGATTATTCTTTGTATGCCAAATTATCCTAATGATGATTTCTAAAGGTGTTGAGAGCAAAGGGTCATGGATCTCTAACACAGTCAGTTTTCAATCACTTTAATTGGAGACAAAAAGTCGTGATACATACTGGAATTTTTTTTCGAACTCAGTGTCTCTACAAAAGTGTACTGAACCATCCCCGTTTCTGCAATCAAGCTGAAACGTTTTTTTTACAGGCGTTGGACACTGTCTGAGGTGCCCATTTTGTTTTTGTTTTAAAAAATATCGTACCGTTGATTTTCAGTAGATTTTACAAAAACAGAGACATGTATTTATTGAAGGTACGCTCAGTATTTTTATGTTTTTATTCGAATCAAAGGAGACAAAAAGAAACCAAAAACAGTAGGCATCCCAAACAGTGTCTAATGTCTGTAAAAAGAGACTCCAGCTATATCAAACGTATTGTCGCTGAGAAAGCGGCGCGATTTTTAGCTTTTGCAACCCAGAGATTTCCTAGAAGGAAGTATTTGAAGTCTATGACAAACTTTACTCTACTGATCGAGATCTATCTACCCTAAAAGTTTCAATATCAGATTTTGTACAGAAATCAAATGGTAATGATAAACAGAAAAGCGGCAAAAGTAGTTCTGTGATGATCATTAGATGATCAAATAGTCTCGTCTGTGTATTATTATTCGCAAAAATACGAAGAAAAACGTTCAAGTGTTGCTTCAGAATCCTTTTTAATAAATTCGATACCCAACCATATGAATAATACTATTTATTGCAAAAGAAGAACAACATTTCCACTAGCAGTTACCGTTTAAGATCGTATTAATGCTTTTTTGCAAGTAGAAGAGATTAAGAATAAATGTGATCAATCGGATTATAGTTTTATGTTGATCATGATTTAGACATTCAAAAATAATAAACGATGTTTATCAAGTGTTTATGATCAATTCAAGGTTATCGAGACTTCTATTTTAAATTTACCTAAATTTTCATTTGTAAGAATGTAGAATATTGGAATAGTATCTGAAGGAAATTATACATCAGAAATATGAACTTTCCATGTTTTTTTTATTTAGCATTAAAATAAACACGAAAAAAAAACCCAGTACAATGTCAAACTCTCATGGAGAAATAAATTGTTGATCTATCTAAAGAATAATGTTTTTTTCAATACAATTTCATAATATCCCTCTAAAGAAATCGATAAACCGAATGAAATATACAATATTAATAGTCAATTTATGTTCTCTCACTAGTTTATCATAACATAATTAACAACGATATGGCAAAAATATGAAAAAAATTCCACTATTATCTTGAAAAGAACAACAAGATTCATGACAAAATATCATTTATTCTTTCTCTCTCTTTCTTTTTTGCGATGTAATATAGATAAGATAAATACACCAGTCTTTAGTCAACCTTGTATTTTATAAAATAACCGCAACTAAGTTGAAAATAACTTTTCTTTGTGCAAATATACTCGTATTTTATATTCGATTATAACAATGAATAATTCTCGAAAATTTCAAAATGAAGAAAATCAATCATCATTTGATAACAAGGTAAAAGCTCCTCAAATTTTGAAACAACAAGTGTGTATGTTAGGTAAATAAAATACATTGATATAAAGACTAATCATTCAATTTTGTTATTGTTTTTTTTTCTTATAGAACGTTATATGTTTGTTGAAAATGAAAAACTTCAAGGATTAATTGCTTATCAACACAATAATTCCATAATTGATTTATCTTGTCAAAATTTAACTGATTATGATATGGGAATTATTATTCAACATGCTGTTGTTGGAAAAAAATGTCAAGGTCTTAATTTATGGGGAAATCAATTTACACATGAAAGTATTTCAATTCTTGCTGATATATTAGAGAAAAATAAAGCATTAAAAGAATTGGATCTTTCATATAATCATATATCGGATACAGGTGTTAAAATAATATCCGAACTTCTTTCATCAAATACTTGTGAACTTCAAGATATTGATCTTTCACACAATGGTATTACAGACAAAGGTACTATCTATTTAGCTAATATGCTTAAGAAAAATCAAACATTAAAAGCATTAGTATTGAATAATAATGATATAACTGACAATGGATTGAAACGATTAGTTGATGTACTTGCTAAAGATAATACTAAATTGACACAATTAAAACTTGAATCAAATCCACGTATAACACATATTGGTGTTGATTATATATTTCGTTCATTAAAAAATAATAAAAATTTAGAAGAATTTTACGTAAGAAATTGCAGTGTTTTGGGTCAAGATTTACAGATGTTACAAGAAAAGGCGATTACATTTGGAATTTATGTTTTCATATAATAAGATATATTTAATGACTAAATCGATTATTTATTTATTTTTTATTACTTTTTTTGTGAAATAAATTAATAAATTATTCAGGAAAACGGATAATAATATCTATTTTCTTTTCTCTTTTTTTTTTATAAATTTTTCACTTAGATCTTATCTTATTTACAGTTAATGTTACATCGACAACCTATACCCGGGTGGACAAAGAACGAGTAAAAAGACTATTCATGACAACACGCTTTGTCTAGTCTTTTTCTCAAAAAGTCCTAGCACGTGGCTAGTCCGAAATCATTTATCGTCCATAGTGTACGACCTGACTACTTAATTGATGGACGTCATTTTGTTTGTTATGTCTAGTCTTTTGTAAGAAAAAGACTAGACATGTTGTACTGTCCTTGACATCTGTCCAACAACATTTGTAAATAAAAAAAAAAGTGAGGGCGTCCACGACGTTGCATACGACGAGTTTCAGTCTTATGTACTGATCTGGTCCGAAATAGTCTAAATTAAAATATGTATGGATGAAAGTTAGATTCGAACATACATACAATATGTCACTTACCTATCGTTTAGCCGATTGAATTATACGATCAAGTGATCAAC